GGGTCTGAGGGCGGCGAGAGGCGGCCGGGGCTGGGAGCGGGTTTCCCTTCGGAACGTCGCCTCGGCTTTGGAAACGGGTATTCTTTGCCATGTATTATTTCTTTACCGTATGTTATTTCTGGTGTGTATATATATATATTCATCAGAGAGATGCCTGATGATTAGAAGGGCCGTGCAAAGGACCTGATGGTTAGAAGAGTCACATATTCCCATTTGGGACTTTGCATTAAGTTAGAAAATGTCTCTCTTTAGCAACAGTTAGTCAGTCACTAGAGGTGGCCAAGTATCTGCCAGTTACCGCTGTGTGAGTGCCGAGGTGCCCTGGGGGAGCCCCGCCCGAGGGAGCTGCCGGAGCAGGGTGGCTCAGGCAGGGCTGGTCCTGTCACCCAGTGAAGCCAGCAGCGTTAGAGATGTCCCCTTGTCTCAGCGAGACTGGATACCTAGAGTGTGACCTGGTTTTGTGGCTCTCAGGTGTTGGGACTCCCAGGTTTCAGGAGAGATGTCTAAAGAAGGGCAAAGAGTACCTTACTGCATCAAAACAAAATAATTTTATGTCAGCTTACAGCTCATGTCATGCCTTTTCTGAAGGCAGTTCTGTTAGCTTTAGCAGAAAACAACGTTTAATTACATCAGCTAGATTGTTTTAAGCCTACTATTTCTCCAGCATTCAAGGTTAAAATCCAGTGGCTGCATAGTCTAATGTAACGTGCTGACGAAAAAAGGGCCACGAAGCTAGCTAGGGTGAACTAATTCATGCCTCACAGCTATCTAACTTTCAAAGTCTGTTTTGTTAATTTTAAACCTTCTGGGAAAGGCTCTGTGTTGGTATTTAAATGGCATCATGTGTGATGTTTGTGCTAGGGGGCTTATGTTACTGCGTTCTTGGTGAGCTGGATAAGAAACGAAACTGAAGTTCATGCTAGAATACTGTTTTTCTGATAAAAAGCAGAGACTGTAGTTAATTGAATTAAGACCTTGGCAACCAGTTGCAGAGTATCTACTGACATGCATCAGGGTAAGACAGATGTAGTTGTGCATGCAGTTCTGAAAATGAGAAAGTGACTGAAAAGAAACATTGACATTCTGCCATTCCTTAAGAAGGAATAATCTAGGGATGTTATTTCCTTGTTGTTCTCTGAACTTGAACAGTTGTATTCTCACTTCCATTTCCTTCATTCCCTTTCCAAAAGTTTTTGACTGTCCTTAAGTTCCTGAGCTCAGAAATCCTAGGGGGGGGAAAACCACTGTGCCTGGGCACCTGGATGCCTCTGGGGATTGCTTCCATGTTACCCATTTGAGTAACCATTCCAAAAAGTGAGGAGCAAATGGGGAAATCAGTAGGGTGTGCTGCAGCTGGGTGAGAGGGTTTAAGCTATCACAGCAGTTCTGAGAGCAAAGGGAAAAATTCTGGGAACTCCTATGGATGGGGAGGAAGGCTGGCAATGTGGGTTCTGGGTAGTAGAACATACAGAGACAGCATATGAACAATAATACTTCTCGTATGAGGTCCTTTCTTTCGTGAACTCTACAGCAAATGAGGTGTGGGGCTTTGCTGTCAGCTTGCTAACCTGCAGCTGAGCTGAATGGCTGCTCTTGGTAGTTGAAGGATCGTTTGGAGGGGGGAGATGAGAGGGACACGGGTAGTTCTTCTGCCTTTCCTCTCTGTGTTGCAGTGGTCAAGTTTGGAAGCCGTGCTGCGGGATTTAAGCTGCATGTTTCAGAAGAGGCACCTGGCAGTGCCTGCCTTTCCCCCTCCCAGTGGGCAGGCACAGCAGGGGCACCTCAGGCCGTCCAGAGACTGTATTTCATAAGGGTTGGTCATGACCAGAAAGTGCTTTATCTGAGAAGTTCCCAGTTCCCCCAGTGCTTCCTTGCTGCCAGAAAATCTCTTGCTTTCCTTGGTGTAAAGCAGAACCTAAGTATGTTCACTCCTCCAGAGAACAGAAGTTTCTTATATCTCATCTATATTTCCTTTGGGAGAGTGGACTCAGAGCTATGAGTTGCTAAAGGAGTTTGTCAGGAAAGGGCAAAAATTGGCAGCTTTTCCTGGCCCAGGCTGTCTTGCATAGACCTAACCCAAAATAGCCCCAGTGAGGGGTGGGGTGTTTGGAGCCAGAGCCCGGTCCCCACCCTTCTTTCACCCTTCAGCACTCCAGCTGGGGAATTTTGGGGAATGTTTAATCAGTAAATACCTCAGATAATGTAACAAAATGTGAAGGATCCTTATAATCCTAGCATAATTTAGGTTGGAAAGTTTAACCTTTGGAGGTGATTTGGTTCATTCCTCTGCTTAAAACCAGGCTAAATTCAAATTCAGATCATGTTGATCAGGGCCTTGTAAAGCTTTTTGTAAGATGAACACAAAGTTGTACAGCTGCTTCTTCTGAAACACCATGGTCAGCTCATTCACTCCAACACAAAATGCTCTCAATTTATGTTCTCAGTGCAGGTTACAGCATGTGGCCAGGGTAGCACAAGAGATTCATGCAGCTACTGTTTTTGTTAAAGGAAAATTAATTCAGTAATGGACTTCTATTGCTGAAACTGCTTTTTTATTATTATTTTTTTTTTTAATTCTGTGGAACTTTTAACTCCATCAGACAGAAATTGCATTCCCCCCCTTTTGCATTGGAGGGAGCTAAATGAAAAACTTTTATTTTTCCCTTCTAAGTAAGTAATGCTTCAATTATTTTATTTAAAATATGTTTATTTTAAAACTGGTATGAGACCTGGTAACACCTAGCATCATGTAAAGCTTCATTTTACTAATCTGATGTAGGCTTCAAATCATTAGATTGTGCAAGCCAGGGATCGGGAACTAACGCATGACTGGTCTTCCAGTTACTACTGTTTCTTGACTGAGGTGGGAATTTCCCCATGTGTAACAATGTGGTTTACAAAGATATTGTGCAATATAAAGGTCAACGAAGGTTAATTTTGTTATGTATTCCTTTAGTATTTCAGAATTGTCTGTTATTTCACAGTCCTTATAAATTACTCACATGAAAAGCAGGATGCAGGACATTACTGGCAGTTGTTAATCTTGGTGACTGAATTGGAGGTGGTAGAAGATAAAAAACAATAGAAGAAAAGAGGCAATTATAGGAAAATAAAGGATCTTAACTATTTAGCATCATGTCTGATGAAAGGGAGTTGAACTTTGTAAAATCTTGGCTGCTTTTCTAGCTATAGAGCATATCAACTTTTTATAAATCTGAGATTGCACAGTGATGTTCATGTGTGGCAGAGAGAGAAAAGAATCTGGGTTACTCTAAAGCCTTTCTTTTAAACAAATAATGTGATTCTTTCTCTACTCTCCTTTTAGTCAAGGGTTCAGTTGTAATTCTCAGTATTTCACTGAAGTTCGGGTAGCTGGAACACCTCACAGTATAAACTGATCTTTTGCTAATTTAAGTAAAGATTTTTAACTGACCTTTAATTTGCTCTGTTCCTAAAAGCTGGTACTTTTGTTAACATATTTTAATATGGTTGTTTATGAAACTTGTCACTATGTCATCAACTGTGAGAACAAGATTTAAGTTTTGTAGTTTGAATATGTTCTTTTAGACTTTTAAAAATAATGTGATTCTTTCTCTACTCTCCTTTTAGTCAAGGGTTCAGTTGTAATTCTCAGTATTTCACTGAAGTTCGGGTAGCTGGAACACCTCACAGTATAAACTGATCTTTTGCTAATTTAAGTAAAGATTTTTAACTGACCTTTAATTTGCTCTGTTCCTAAAAGCTGGTACTTTTGTTAACATATTTTAATATGGTTGTTTATGAAACTTGTCACTATGTCATCAACTGTGAGAACAAGATTTAAGTTTTGTAGTTTGAATATGTTCTTTTAGACTTTTAAATTAAATGTTTTTTTTTTTTTTTTTTAACCTGGGAACCAGAATCAAATAAAAGTATGTAGTGGTTTTGTTAGTAAAGTTAGTGAAGTAGAAAAGACCCTACAACAATGCTTTCAGAGCAATTTATTAAACAAAGAGGATGTTGTGCATGAGTTGGGAAGTGAGATACATGCCCTATCGTCCCCAAACCATTAAACATCATCCTGGGACATCTGTGTTTACTCTGCAAGTGAAAAAGCAGGAAGGAACTGCTTTCAGTTTCAATTTAATTCACAGCTTTGAATTTAACTAGCTGGAAAAACCATAGCAGACAACATATATTGCTAGTTTAACTTGACCTGATTTCTTTTTAAAGAACAAATAAGTTTATTTTTATGTTTTTATTTTAAATATTTTGATCCTATAGAAAGAAGCTCCTATAATGTGCTTTTTTATACTTCCACTTACAGATCTCCTGGCTATTTTAGACCTTTTTATTTAATGTAAGTTACTGCCATTGTCTTGCTTCTCTCCTTACCTCAGAGACTGAAAGGAGTATCTCTGCAGGTTAGTGCTGGCATCACTAAAGGCTCGTTTTGTTTTGTTTTGTTTTGTTTTTTAAATTCCTTTTTGGCAACTCTGAAAGAGCATAATGAAAAAGACAAGTACTCGGTCCTTTCACTCATGACATTCTGCTATGGAAGCCCACCTGCCTGTGCAAGTCCACCCTTTATTATCATGTGGACACAGAAACTGGATATGTAATACTTAGTAGTATCACTTCCTAAGTGGATTAGCATAAAGAACTGAATAGGTGGTAGCATGGCACCGTGGCTGCTCCAGGATTTACCCCAGCAGGTTTTGTAGTCAACATCAGTACACTAAACCAGTTGCTCTGAAATTAGGGCAGTGATTTGTTCATGTGAATTGCATGATGTTTCTTAATGGCAGCACAGTGGAGTCCTGCACTGCAGTTATGTAACTGCATATCTTGATGCTTTCCTTTAAGTTGAGGATGGTTTCAGGGTACTCAAAGCATGAATAAAGGCATACATAATTCCAGTTTATGTGTGGTGGAGATGGGCTAGATGGAAGCTGGGATACTTAAAGTCATTTTAGTTCTATTTGTAATTCAGCTTTCCAATACAGTTTAGACAGGAAAATATCTTTTATCAATAATAGTAAATAGAAAATTCAGAATAATTAATGTAAAATTATATATTTTTAAAAAATAAAAATCCTCTTTTGCAGAAAAATTATAAGCAGATCCTCAGGAATGCAAGGTGAGTAAAATATAAACAAAATGCCATCTTTTGTTAATACCAAAGAACATGGGTCTGCCTGAGGTGTTCAAGTAAGTTTAGCTTCTAATTTTATGAAACATGTATGAATGTTTTAATTTGAAATTATTTATGTTTTAAAATTGGCTCCTTTACAACACATATAGCTTACATTTTCAGATCTTGATTTCTGAAGTTAAATAAATAATCTTGAAAATCAAGTTTTTGCTGCTTGGTAAATGCTTTTAAATCCATAACCCTCTGAGTCTGCTAGTGAGGCATTAGTATAGTCCCAACTTGAAGAAAATTGACTTTCATATAGTGGAGAGTGGCTCATAACCATTCCATTCTGTACAGGAGGACAGCCTGGCAATTCCCTGGCAATTCTTTGAGTTAAAGCCTCCTTCTGAATATAAATGAACAAAGGCACCTCTGGTCCAGACAGAAAGTGAACTGACCCTGCTTGGGCAGGGGTTGGACTGGGTGATCTGTAGAGACCCTTCTGGGCTAAATGTTTCCGTTACATCTTCATGATGTTACGTGCAATACTTGCTTTTATTCTGCACTTTAAGGATCTAAGCTCCTTTCAGTTATACTAATAATAAATACAAGCTTAAATACAAGCTTGTTATGCAGTTTTGCTCTGCAGAAAAAGCTGCTGAATTTTATTCTGTGTCTACTCTGAAAAAGGAAGCAATGTTGGGGATCTCTCACTCTAGGGTCAGAGGAAACAAGCAATATTCAGTGTATGTCTTATTCTTTTAGTACACACACCTGCACCAGCACCTGGATTTTCTAACATTGGCTATGCACCAGGCAGTGAAGTCCCCAGTGGCTACCCACAGCATGGAACTGGAACTTACCAAGGTAGGTTGCTTGGCTACTGATCTGCTTATACTATTAGGAAATAAGCATGGGGTAACAGGAGGTTTCACAACTCTGATATACTTCTGTTAATTCTGTAGAGCTTCTGTTAATTTCTGTTTTGCTGAAAAGTCATTATCTTTCCTTCTTGGGGCTACAGGTTAGTATGTGCTGTGCAGTAGCAACAGCTGTGGGAGATAAAGTTGGACGTTCCTCAGTGGTCACTAGGGGAAGTTTGTTAGGGAGGTGCTACTGGTGCAAAGCCATTAATGTGTGGCATCTTGCTGATTATCAGATTTTTTAATTAAAATGTTATTTCAGTATTTCACTTTGTTTTTCTTTGGAAATCCAGAACCAAAGAAAGAATTGTTTTCCTCCTCCTTTCTGTTCCTGTGTCCTACGCTGTTGCTGTACTTCACATGGTTATACCTAACACTTTGACTCTTGTTTTTCTCCTCTTTTACCTCATTTTCTGTTCCACATTCAAAATGCAGCACTACTAAATAGCTTCTCATGTTCTGGCAACCAACTGCTTTCTGAAGAATCAAATCACAATGAGCAAAATTGAATTATGAAGTTCAAAACCTAGGGTATAAATAAAATGCAAAAAGTTTGGCCTAAGTTACTGTGCTGTTCCTAAGTGGAAGCTTGTGCATCTTGTGGCAAGGCAGTCAGAGGTCTGTGAGTGCAGTTGGCAGCAGTGGGGAATGAGCACTCGCTGCCTGTGCAATGAGGTTCGGGGGAGCAGTTTTCCTTTTGATTAATTGCATGTGCACACACTTGCACACAATAGCAGTAGATAGTTGGCCTGTGAACAAAGCCTGTGGTCAGTCATAAAAGTGGTTTTGTATTCCGTAGGGGTGGATGCTTCTCTGGATAAGTCATCCTGATACCTATGAGTGGTTGTTTCTATCACATGAGGTACCGTCCTGCTTGTGGGCATGGGCTTTCACATGGTACAGTCCATGTTTTGTAAAGTAATGTGAAACATTGGTGCTGAACTCATTTGGGCTAAAGAGTCTACAAGTCAGTATCTTGAACTATTTCTCTTTGTACAGCTCTACAAAAATATTCTGTATTGTGCTTGCTTCTGAGTAAAATACAGATTTCCTCTGCACGAGTTTGAAAGCCTGTCTGCCTACCAGGAAAGCATTAAATAAGGGAAAAAACTACAGTTCTTGTTCTGTAACTTTCAATAGCAACTCCAGCAGCTTCAGCTACAAGGTCATAAAGCATCTGTGTAGCAAAGACCAGGTTGGTGTGGACAGGCAAGCCTGGGACGTGGGATGGGTTGTGAGCACTAAGGCAGTGCTGTGTGCGCCATCTGATGGGGTGCTGAGCACTTTGACCCTGAAGTGCTTCATTAATGTTTGTGTTTCCTGGGGAGTGCTTACTAAAGAAATCTTGTTTGGCATTCATAAAATGTGAAACTGTTTCCTCCTTTACTATGCACCTCCTCCATGAAGGAGTTATGCATTTCCTGTTTTGAAAAATAATCAATTAAACAAATGAGAAAGTGCAGCTTTTAGATCACACTCATCTGTTTTGAAAAGTGTGGATGAACTTTACTACAAGGACAGTTCCTTTCACACAAGTAGAAGGTAACATCCTAGGAAAACGTTGTCTTTAAATTCCTCATTTGTTCAACTGACAACCTGTAAATGACAATACTTCTCGTGTATTTTAAGGTATTCTGTCTGCTTTACTTATAAGCTTCATTTATTTGTTTCTAATTTCTGAACTGCCTGTGTGAAGAAAATTTATGGTATATTCAAGAATGATGCTCTTATTTTTTTGTTTTTGTCTAGAGGGGTCCAGTGTAACTTCCTTCACAGAAGTTGTAGTATCGGTAACTGAGATATATCATAGGTGTAAGGATCTTCACAGTGCAAAATAGTGAAGAAATTAATATTTTAAACATCCACGGGGCAATTACTTCCAACATCTGTTTCCCAACTGCATGTCTTCTAACACACCAGGTGTCCCAGGCACCGGAGGCTATGGTTTCCAGGCACAGCCCATGGGAGTCCCAGCTGGGTTTGCTGTTCCACCCATCCAAAACCAGCCCATCATGCAGCAGGGGATAATGTGGATGCCTGTCCCTCCTCCTCTTCCCAACTGCCCCCCTGGACTGGAATACCTCACTCAGGTACCTGCATCCTTACTCCTTTCCCAGAAAACAGGGGAAGCAACCTGCATCTGTGAAAAAGCTAGGAGGAGAAAAAAAAAAAAAAAAAGGCATATGTCTTTGTTGCTGATTTGGGGCTGCTAAGTGAAGCCTTTTGCAATGTGATTGATGCATGTTTTGAGTGTGGATGTACCTGTTCTAGCTGCAGAACTTCAAGCTCTTCTGCCAAGTGAGACCCTAAAGGACTGCAGGCACATGCCTGGCAAGCATCCTTCCGCTTCTGAAGTTAGTGTTTGTGAGGTGTAATGTGATATGGCAAGGTGTACATAATAAATAGTTATAATATGGGCAACTGTAACACATTAGAGGTGCTTAATTTTCTACATTATGCTTTCTTCACACCTCTTCATAATGCTGTTAGGTGAGGTGCTAGTCAGGCTTCATGATGTACATAACACTAATAGCAAAATAAGAATGGTCTTCACGTTAGAGAATATGTCCTTGTACTGTAAAAGTGAAGTTCTTCTCATCACTGGGAGCAAATATTAAGGCTTAACTCTGATGTTGTTCAGTCAGTTTTGCAAGTTTCTCAAAAAAACAAGCAAACAAAAAACACCAGTGAGGAGAAGCTGATTTTTTCCTGCGTTTCAGTCAGAGCTGAGCAGTAGCTGAGCTTCTGCTCTAAAATTAAAATTTCGCAATTTACTGGTTTTGTCTGTATGGACTCCTGATGTAGGCATCTGGGCCATCTTGTGTCAGAGGCTGTGTCAGGCTCTGTTGCTGAGCTGCCAAGTCCTGAAAGGAGCACAGGCACATTAGCCCTATGTCCTTGTAACCAGAACAGCTTGGGTATAACTTCTGCCATCTGCCCTGGTTCTCTGAAACACTGTTCTGCTAAATTGACAGGGAACAGGATGTGTGTGCGGGGAGGGGGAGGTGTAAGCTACTTCCACAGCTTTACTGGTAGATGATCTGCCTCTAGACAACGTATTGATCCATAAACCTGCATTCTGAAATGAAACAGCAGTGCTTCTTAAAACTAGTTTTCTTGTAGTTGCAACTTGTTAACTATTTATTCTGTTTAATTTTTCAACTACAAACAGATTGACCAGATATTAATTCATCAACAAATTGAACTTCTTGAGAGTAAGTGCAAAGTATTTAAGCAGAGAAATTTTTATTAATGCCAAGAATGGTAAAATTTAGACCTTTTAAAGACAATATATTTAAGGTGTATTGCT